AGATATGCGCCATCACAACCAGTGCATTCTTCTTCGTTTTTTTTTAAAGATTTATTTATTTATTATGCATACAACATTCCTTCCATGTATGTTTACATGCCAGAAGAGGGCACCAGATCTCATTATAGATGGCTGTGAGCCACCATGTGGTTGCTGGGAATTGAACTCAGGACATCTGGAAGAGCAGGCAATGCTCTTAACCGCTGAGCCATCTCTCCAGCCCCTACATTCTTCTGTTTTATTGTTTCCATAGCTTTGTCTTTTCCTGAATATCACAGGGCTGGAATTATTCAGTACATGGAATTTTCTTCCTTTCCTTTCTCTCTCTCTCTCTCTCTCTCTCTCTCTCTCTCTCTCTCTCTTTCTTAAAAGTAACAACAAAACACCCCAAACCCAACTTCCCTAGAACTAGTGATTGTCCTGCCTCGGCTTCCTGAGTTCCGAGGTTACAGGAGTGTGCTACCACACTGGGTTAAAAGTTTATGGAAAGTTAACAATTCTTTCCCAGTTTTCGTTTCTCCTCTCTATGCAGTGCTAGAGATGGAGCACAGGGCATCATGCATGCCAGGCCAGCTCTCCCCCACCATCCTGTGTCTCCAGGTCTCATGGCCTTTTGAATTGGCTTCTTTCACTTAATAAAATGCATTTAAGGCATTCATGTTCTTATGATTTAATAGTTCATTTCTTTTTCATGCCCACACTACCCCGTTGTCTAGATGTACCACAGTTTATCTGTTCACCAAGAAGGACATCTTGTTTGCTTCTAAATTTTAGCAATTATGAATAAAACTTCTGCATGCTTCTATGTTCAGGTTTTTGTGTGGATTTAAAACTTTTTATGACTGGGTTTCCCTGTGTAATAGTCCTGGCTGTCCTGGAACTTGCTCTATAGACCAGGCTGGCCTTGAACTCACAGAGATCTGCCTGCCTCTGTCTCCGGAGTGCTGGGATTAAAGGTGTGCTCCACTACCGCCAAAATAATAATAATAATAGTAATAATAATAATAATAAAGTTTTGGGTGGTAACTATCAACATTGATTTATAAAGTAAGAATTTGTTTTTGGAAGAAACTGTCTTTGAGTGTGGCTGTAGAATTGTGTTTTCCCCAACAGCAAAGAGGGAGGTCTGTTGCTACTAGTGTCCTGGATTCTTGGCCATCCCAATAGCTGTGCAGACCTTGCTTTTGAACAGGGTCTGGCTGTGTACTGCATAGCCCAGGCTGGTGTGGAACCCATTGATCCTTGCCTCAGCTTCCCAAGTGCTAGGATCAAAGGTGTGCGCCACAACCGCCTGGCTTCTAGACATATTTTAAAATTACGTTTTTTATCTACTTGTTTTGTATGCTTGTGCACACATGCAGAGATCAGAAGACAACGTGGGGGAGTCAGTTTTCTTTCCATTGTGCGGGTCCTGTCTCTAGGATTGAGCTCAGCTTGTCAGGCTTGGTGGTGAGGGCCTTTACCTGCTGAGCCATCTTGTTGGCCCTGCACAATTTTTTTTTTTAAGAAACAGCTAATGGTTTGAATAAAAATCTAATAGGCTTATTGTTTAACCTGCTTGAATTTTCTGTAACAGAAAATAGTGTAAGAGCCCATGATCCTAGTGCTAATGGTGCTGTGCTGACGACACACGGCTGAGTGGACAAAGTGCAGTGTTGCTGGCTGTATTCCATGGTGGTGTTTTCTGTGAAACCCTGTGAAAACCCTGGATTCTCAGTAAATTAGTATTTGGGTTTAGATGCTTTATCAGAATCAGGGACGATTTATACCGCAGTCCCCAGTCGCTCATTGTCTCTCGTTGCCACGCTGGCAGCCACTGAAGGCCTGTGCAGTCTTCACAGGTTTTCAAGTGGTGTTTGGAATTTTTTAAAAGATATTTTTCATTTATTCTGTAATGAAAAACCTTTCTCATCTGCTCTGATACACGTGGAAGAGAGCCTAGACAAACTGTCACCTTCCCAAGTGAAGAGTTGCCTTGTTAGCACTGTCCTTCAACGAAGGCTGATCAGTTCAAGTGTGTGTGCACGCGCGCGCGTGTGTGTGTGTGTGTGTGTGTGTGTGTGCGCGCGCGCGCGCGCGCGCGTGCGTGTGTGCGAGCGTGTGTGTGCGTGTGCGTATGTGAGCGCGAGCGTGTGCATGTGTGTGTGTGTGTGTGTGCATGTGTGTGTGTTGAACCCAAGGCCCTTCACAGGCCAGACAATGCTTCTTGTTAGATGTTACAGTGCGCAGACTCACAGATCTTAGCATATTTGTTCTGTGTAGCCTGCTGAAATCCTGTCCACACTGAAGGGCAGGTTACTTGTGGTTGGCGGCTGCTGGTGCCTGTGGCCGTGTGTCTGCTGCTCTTCTTGCTTTCTTACTGTCTGATAAAATGGGAGGGTTCAAACATGTTCCAGACCTGTAGCCAGCCAATTTTTGTTTTGTTTTGAGAGGGTCTTACTGTGTGGGCCAGGCTGGCCTGTAACAGTCACAGATATTCCTGCTCCTGCTTCTGAAGTGCTGGGGTTGAAGGTGGACACCACTATGCCCTTCTATCAGCTGTTTTTTTTTTTTTTTTCAAGAAACTCTGATTTTTTTTAAGTAGAGAATGATATTTTCAGAGGTCATAATCTTGGTGCTGATGATACTTTGAGCTACAGTTGATCATGTGTTATAGGCCTTTGAAAGGACAGAGGTTAAAAATATCTACTAATTTAAAGCTATTTATAGACAAAGGATGTGTCGTATGTTTTCACTGACGCGTTCCACGTGAGAAAGACGTAGCCTTTTTATTTACCTTCTGTCTCTGCTGTCATGTCTCATTTTGAACCCTTTGAGAGTCCTTCCTCTCAGCCACACTAGGGATGACACAGTTCACACAGTCAGTCACCACACAGTACACTGTGCCCTCAGATGCCGATGCCCAGTGCGAGTGCTGTGACCAAGGGCGTGGCGACTGCAGGCCGCTCAGGGGGCTCCACGCAGCGGTTTACACTAATCCCACTCTCAGGGTGGCTGAAGCAAGACAGCCCGTGGGAGGGCAGCCAGGGCTACAGAGAAAGACTTGTTCTCAAAAGCCAAAAAAGAGAAAAAGCAGTTTATAATCTTCGCTGCTGTTGTCTGTCTGTCTCTTGGGAATGTGTACAGCTTGGGCAGTTGGCTACTTTGTCCTGGTTTCTCTTTGTCTTCTGTTTTGCCAGGAACTGATCTGGAGTTGGAATGCCAGCCCCAGCAATCCGGGTTCCCAGCTCTGTGCGCTCTGACTTAGAATCGTTCTTCTGAAATAGCCACACCACCAATTTCGCATCTGCTTGTTTGGTTTTTTATTTTGAGAATTCCCTTTGGAAGAGATGTATTTTTATTCATGTGTGTCTGTGTCTGTGAACACCTGCCCTGTGTGTGCAGGTCATGTGGCAGCTGGTGGAGCTCTCTCCATCCCTTTGCTCTAAAGTCTAGCCAGGCGTTTATGTTCCAGCTCCCTTTTCTTTGTTAAAATGGAGCAAATCACAGTTTTCTCCACTTTGCTTTTAAAACTTAATATTATCTCTTAAATATTTTTCATAGTAGTAATAATATGTAATTTTAAATATCTACAAAAGTAAATTATCAAATTAATCATGAATTGACATTTGACATTCTATTTCTCTAAGAATATCTATGTTAATCTCATTAAAATATCGTCTCACTGGAGAACTGGATTGCCTGTCTTCAGCATTGTGTTGGGGGGTGGGCGTAGATGGGCTTGATGACGTGGGGGCTTCAGAGTGAGTTAGAGATCTGAGCAATACCTGGAGGGCGAACCTGGCAAGCTACAGAGCTGGGGGAAGCACCAAGCCTGGCAGTGTGCACAGGCCACGTGGAAGTGAGAGTGTCCCTGTGTCCCTGTGGTGAAGTAGCCCAGTTGGAGCCTCATGCAGGTAAAGGGAAAGTCAGTCCAGAGTAGCACTTAGTGTGTTTGTCTTAGTACCCGATGCCTTGTGAAGGAGGAGGGGACTTGGTCACAGCATTCTTTTAAGAAAGACTTTCTGGAAGCTGGAGAGATGGTTCCGTGGTTAAGAGCCCTGGCTGCTCTTCTAGAGGACCTGGGTGCAATTCCTAGCACCCACATGGCAGCTCACAATAGTCTGTAACTCCAAGATCAGACACCTGCACACAGACATACATGCAGGCAAAACACCAATGCACATAAAATAAACTTAAATTAAATCTTAGAAAAAGTCTTACTGAGCAGTTACTATGTGAATGTTTCTGTGCTGTGTATGGGGCTATAGTCTTTTAAAAAACATCTCTCTTTTCCTTTCCTTTCTTCTCTGAGACAGTTTCACTATGCAACACTGGCTGACTTGGAACTTGTTCTATAGACAAGGTTGGCCTCTGCCTCCCGAGTGCATCATGCCTTGCTTGTTTTGTTTTGAATTATGTACACGTGTGTGTGTGTGCACGAGTACAGTTGCCCCAGGGAGCCCAGAAGAGGGTGTCGGATCTCCTGGAGCTGGAGTTAGAGGCTGGAAACGGCAAGAGTATACACACTCTTAAACACTGGTCCATCTCTCTAGCCCCCACATCTATGTTTCCTTGCTAAGCAGAATTGCAGTATGCCCTTAGGACATAAAAATTGGGGGCTGTTAGGTTAGTTTGGAAGTGAGGGGCAGTCACCATTCAAGGCGAGTGCCTGCTGGAGTTGGCTTTGCAGATGTGTAACTGGGCCATTGGAGAGGATGGAGCAGCTCAGCCTTAACTCCCTTCTACCACATCTGTGATCTCGGGGCACAGTTATTTAATGTTACAGCCTGGGAAAGAGAATGACTGCCATATTTGCATCTCAAAGGGATGTGAGGTTCCAACTTAAAAATACATATAAACCACTGTTTTCCCCTTCAGATATCTCAGAGGAGCCTTGGTATATAATGTGGTTTGGAGTATTGGAATGAATGAATATGCGTGTATTTCCATGATCGTTTGCATTGAAGAATGAATATGCATGTATTCCTGTGACCATTTGCATATCTGTTTTTAAACAGAGACCAGATGAGGAAGCTGTGGTGGATCAGGGCGGGACCAGCACAACCCTCAACATTCACTATGAGAAGGAAGAGTTGGAAGGTAAGAGGCTGCCTCCCATGGCCAGGGAAAACAGAAGCCCTCTGGAGACCTGGGTTCACATCTGACTCTTTTTTTTCCTGGCTGAGGGACCCTGTGGGGAAAACAGCTACCTTCCTTTGCCTCTTGGTCCTTGTCTTAAACAAGAGCTGATATAAAAGGGCCCCTGTGTGATAGGCTTGGCTCAGGACCCAGTAGGCAGCCTGAGACACAGGCATGGAGTACTGGGCCGCTCAGCACAGATATCAACAATAGCAAAAACCCTTTCTTTGAGACTGTGAAGTGATCACTTAGTTCACTGACTCTTCGTAACTGCTACCCTTTTGTTTGTAGCACTGTTTTTTTTTTAATTTATTTTACATACCAACCAGTTTCCCCTTTCTCTTCTCCTCCCTTTCTCTCCACCACACCTCTTTTTTACCCCCTGCCCCAAATAGGGTAAGGCCTCCCTTAGGAAGTCAATAAAGCCTGGCATATCAATTTCAGGCAGGAACGAGCTCCTTGCCCCTGCATCAACGCTGAGCAAGGCATCCCACCATAGGGAGTGGGTTCCAAAAAGCCAGCTCGTGCACGAGGGACTGATTCTGACCCCACTGCTAGGTTGGTCCCATGCAGGCTCCCTAGCTATTGGTGTAGAGTCAGTGAGCTCCCGTGAGCTGGGGTCAGCTGTCTCTGTGGGTTTCCCAATCATGATCTTGACTCCCACTGCATCTGTAGTACTGTTAATCACACAGACAAAAATAAGACTATGACCACAATTTCTGAGATATTTGAAGCAAGCTTTATTAAATACTGGCTGGGATGATGGACTCTGGCCAGGTCCCTACCCAGGATTTCCAGAGTGTTGGGCCAAATTACCTTAGCCGGGGGCTTTATAAAGGCAAAACCTGGCCGGGCGGTGGTGGCACACGCCTTTAATCCCAGCACTCAGGAGGCAGAGGCAGGCGGATCTCTGTGAGTTTGAGACCAGCCTGGTCTACAAGAGCTAGTTCCAGGACAGGCTCCAAAACCACAGAGAAACCCTGTCTCGAAAAACCAAAAAATAAAATAAAATAAAATAAAAAGGCAAACCCTGCAAGACTCTGCACTTCGGCCTTCGTCCAAACAGAGGCAAGCATACATCCAGCTGAACTTCCTGCCTCTGTGCCTCCCACCTACCTGTGATGGAGCACATCCTGTGCAATTGGGGCCGCCAACCTTGTTTACAGAAGGGAGAACACGTGACTTGTTGTCCTACATGAACAAGAGCCCCCGGCATTCCAGGAAGTTATCCCTGTAAGCGGGGCTTACAGGTTAGAAGCACTTTTTAAAATATAAATCTCTTAGACTCAGTAGTTTAAACTTAAACATAACTTCAGCCCTCACAGTACCCGAGGCACAGATTGGTGCCACTCCCACTTTAGTTTTGAGAACCGACCTGATGGTGGGGAAGACTGGGTGGAATCCATCTTTTCTCCCTCTCTACTGCAAGGCAGACACACAGGTATCACCTCACCCTCCAGGCCTTGGCACCTTGCTTCCTCGCACTGTCCCAACGCCTCGCAGGGTATTGTGAGCAGCTCCATTGTCCTCTAGCAATTACCTGTGGACTTTAATCCTCCACTGGGAAGTGGACATGTTTGGATATTTTTGTGAGGGAATAGAATAATAAACCCAGGCAAGTTCTCTTGGATCTTGAGGGCCAGGTCTCATCCATCGAGGTCAGCTGAGCAACATCTCCAGATGATGTCATATTCCCCTCTGCTGGGAAAGAAAACTGCAGGATGTCACATTGCTGGGGGACGCCGTGCTGGAAAATGACATTACTCCTGATTAAGTGCTAGATTTATGACTCCTGATGTCAGATTAATGCACTTTAACAAAAGCTAGCCCCACTTGGTCATATTTGTAGCTTTAAGGGGCTTGCATGTGTTCCACATGTAGGACTTCCCTTAGGGCTCCCTAGTGAGTGCTCAGCCAACAGCACCAGCTGCAGTGTGGTCTGCAGCCCCATCTCTGTAGTGGCTCCAACCCATGCTTTCTCTTCTGTCCCAAAGACCCAGTGTCTCTCATTTATGGCTGCTCTCAGTGCATGTGTGTGTGTGTGTCTGTGTGTGTCTGTGTGTGTGCATTTTTATTTTTAAAAACATCAACATCTTTCTTACAAGTTTTACTAAATTATTTGCACCCGGATGGCCCCAGTAGACTCACTGTGACACTCACTAAAGAATGAGCGTGGTTCCACACCGGTGCTGGAGGAGATCTAAGCAGGGACATGGAGTTCACAGGATCACAGTTGGGAATAAGCAGCTGCTCATCTGTAATACAAGACAGAAAAAGAGGCTCGAGAAAAGCTTCAGCTGGGGCTCTAGGTGGCTTGGAGGAAGGTGAGCACACATCTCACCGGGGAGATTAGAAACAATGCCAAGGAGGCAGAGAGTTTGCCAAGAATTTGGTGAGTACATGTGCAGACAGTGCCAGCACACTTGAGGAAGAGCAGCCTGGCTCAGGTAGAGAGAGTATGAACCGCTGTGGATACAGCAGCTATGGAAGGCGGAGGGCACCAAGACCAACTAATGGGTGCTGGCGAAGCTACAAAGGTGTGCATGTGTATTCTTCTCCAGAATGTTCGTTCTGTGCCAGAGGTAGGGCTACCCTTTTTGGTCTCTTGGGCTGATAACCTGGTTTTTTAGGGTCATTTATTTCCATGTTAAATATGTAAACTTGACCCAAAGGAAAGGAAATCCAAAGAAGTGAGGAGACCCGAGCACAGTTGTCCCGGACACACAGGATGGACACTGAGACCCGAGCACAGTTGTCCAGGACACACAGGATGGACACTGAGATCGAGCACAGGGACACTGGACACACAGGATGGTCACTGAGAACTGAGCACAGGGGTCCTGAACACACAAGATAGACTATATGACTGTAACAAGGAGAACAACTCTGTAACGTTCAGTTAGTGTGAAGGGCAGGGAAGAGACCCTGCTTCATCAGAGCAGGAGACACCAATGGCTTGATGGACCTGTTGTAGGAATTCATTCAGCCAATAGCCTTTTGGGTATCAACCAATTAGGGAATGGTACTTGTTATCCTTTATTCTGGGCTCTTGTGGGTCTCTTTAGTTATGCCTACAAGGACCCACAATGAAGGGGACAGCGGGGTGGACCTGGGAATCTAAGGTAACGCTGAGGAAAAATACTTTGTTTTGTGTATGGGTGTTTCCCTGTATGTTTATCAATGCATCGTGTGTATGCAATGACATGGAGGCCAGCATGTGATATGGGAGTGTCATATATCAATCTGTTGATTTCATTGGTTAATTAAATAAAGAAA